TTGCTACAGTTCTAAAATTCGGTGACACCCCTCACGTAGATCGGCGGGGCCAGGGTCCAAAAACACAAAAAGGATGTGCCACAATTCTAAAATTCGGTGGCACCCCTCAAACACATCGGCGGGGTCAAGGTCCAAAAACACATGGGACGTGCCACATTTCTGCAATTCGGTGGCATCCCTCACGCAGATCGGCGGGGTCAGGGTCCAAAAACACAAAGAATGTGACGCATTTTAAAAATTCGATGGCACCCCTCACGCAGATCGGCGGGGTCAAGATCCAAAAACACAGAAACGATGTGCCGCATGTTTTAAATTCGGTGGCACCCCTCACGCAAATCAGCGGGGTCAGGGTCCACGAAAACAAAAGATTTGCCACATTTCTAAAATTTCCGGACACCCGTCACGCAGATCGGCGGGGTCAGGGCCCAAAAACACTAGGATTTTCACATTTTTGAAATTCGGTGGCACCCGTCACGCAGATCGGCGGGGTTACGGTCCAAAAACACATGAGATGTTCCGCATGTTTGAAATTCGGTGGCACCCTTCATGCTGATCAGCGGGGTCAGGTCCAAAAACACAGAAACGATGTGCCGCATGTTTTAAATTCGGTGGCACCCCTCATGCAGATCAGCGGGGTCTGGGTCCAAAAACACAATGGATTTACCACATTTCTGAAATTTCCTGCCACCCGTCACGCAGATCGGCGGGGTCAGGGTCCAAAAACACTGATATTTTCACATGTTTGAAATTCGGTGGCACCCGTCATGCAGATCGGCGGGGTCAGGGTCCAAAAACACATGAGATGTTCCGCATGTTTGAAATTCGGTGGCGCCCCTCACGCAGATCCGCAGGGTCAGGGCCCAAAAACACAAAAATGATTTGCCACATTTCTGAAATTCGGTGGCACCCCTCACGCAAATCGGCGGGGTCAGGGTCCAAAAACAAAAGGGATTTGCCACATGTCTGAAATCCGGTGGCACCCTTCACGCAGATTGGCGGGGGCAGGGTCCAAAAACAGAAGGGATTTGCCACATGTCTGAAATTCGGCGGCACCCCTCACGCAGATCGGCAGGGTCAGGGTCGAAAAACAAATAGGTCCCGACACTGCTTCACGGCAAAACCAAAGCCTTATGACTTCGCTCTTCCATGGCCCATTCTCCGAGAGAGGGGGCCGGAGGAGGCGAAGCCCTTACGGATAATCTCCTTCGCGAAACGTACAGCCGCATTCCTGACCTCCCGGGCTAGGATCCGCACCCGCGCGCTTCCGCGGGTGCCGCCACTTGGCGGCTGGACATGACGCCCTGGGCTTCCGCGCGGCCATGGACGCTCCGCCGCGAAATGTTTCCGCGAAGCTTTTCGGTTTGTGGAGCCGTCGCGGCGGGGCGACCGCGGCCGCGTGGAACCCCCCCTTCTCCCCCGCGAGCATATGCGCGGCGAGACTCACTGCGCGCGTAAAACAAAGCGCATGTCCCAGTGGCTCGTGCGGGACACGTCCCGAGGTTGGGGTGCAGTGTGGAGCTTTGCGAAAGCTACGCGACATGCCTAGAATGTGAGAATGTGAGAGGGAAAGGGGTAGGGGGAGGGGGAGGAGGAGGGAGGGGAAAGGTCCGTTTGTCTTGCCAACTTGCCAGCGAGGACAAAGGACAAAGGCTCCGAGGGAAAGCTGCCCGAGGGCCGAGCTCGAGAGGACGCCCCGGAACCAGCTTTCTCGGTCGCCACGACGTCCCTGAAAGGTGAGGAGGCGGAAGGAACACGAGGAGGAGGGGGAGGATCGGCCCCTGCCGCGCAGAAGACACCTGTTACCCCACCATCACCACCACGCCAGGGCCACGGCCACCAGGGGCCCCGGCACGGGGCACGCGCCCCCCGAAGCGGCCGAGGCCAAAGTCAGCAGCTCAAAGCAGGCATCGCCCTAAACGGTGTCATTCCTTCTCGTTTTGCTTTGTTTTCCCTCGTTTTGTCTTCAATCCGCCTTTTCCGATCCGCCTTTGCTGCAAAACGGGATCGAAACGAAAACGGCCCACGAAATAGCCAAAATACCGTTTAGGTCGACCCCCGGCTCCAAAGATGGGGGCCTCAAGGCCGAGCACCTGAGGACGAGGACCTGAGGACGCGGACCGGAGAACGAGGGGTCTCACGCAATGTGCACTCAGCCTGGAACGCACTACTGTCCTGCAGTGGAGACCCATGCCAAGACACCCCCTGCTTGCCTCCCGTGTGCCCTTGGTTTCCAGGGTTTCGATGGTTTTGCTGTGGAAAGCGTGACGCTCCCACACCAAAAATCAATGAACGTTCTGGGGTCTCAGGGTTAGGTTTCTTGTGGAAGGTTTCTTGTGGACTGGCCTCCACTGTACGGGCCCGATGCCATCAGCTTCAGGGCCCAATGCTTGAACGCAGAAAAAGGGTCTGCCATATCAGCCCGGGGCCCAGGGTGAGCACGGCGGCGGAGCACAGGCGCCTCCTGCGGGGCGGTCGAGGGATCGGAGAGCGAGCGGCAGACCTGCCCGGAATACTGGGAGCCATTGCCGGAGCCATTGCTGGAGGCATTGCCATCGGAGCTGATGCCAGAGGCGTTGCTGCCGCTGCCCACCGCGCTGCCCACCACCTCTGCGCCGCGGCGCGCCGCCTCTACCTCCTCCTCCTCCTCCTCCTCCTCCTCCTTCTCCTCCTCCTCCTCCTCCTCCTCCTCCTCGCTCCTCCTCGCTCCTTTTCCTCCTCGCTCCTCCTCGCTCCTCTGCCTCCTCCTCCTCCTCTCCTTCTCCTCCTCCTCCTCCACCTCCTCCTCCTCCTCCTCCTCCTCCTCCTCCTCCTCCTCGTACTCCTCCTCCGCCTCCTCCTCCTCCTCCTCCTCCTCCTCCTCCTCCTCCTCCTCCTCCTCCCCTCCCCCTCCCCCTCCCCCTCCCCCTCCCCCTCCCCTCCCCACTCCCCCCGTCCCCCGTCCCCCGTCCCCGTCCCCATCCCCCTCCTCCTCCTCCTCCTCCTCTCTCTCCTCCTCCTCCTCCTCCTCCTCCTCCTCCTCCTCCTCCTCCTCTGCCTGACTCTCCACCTGTCGCCCTTGGAGCAGCTCCGCCCATGGTGCACCACCAGGCGTATCTCCGCAGGCCAGGCCGAGGGGGTCTCGAGTGGGCAGTTCCTTCCGTGCGACCATCTCGACACTCACACGTCGCACTTTGCATGAGCGCTGTCACGACGGTAACATTTAAACAATCATGGGACGCACGAAGACATACTAGTACTTTGTATCCTCATTGTGCGCGCCCGTCCGACCGGAACATATAGTATACCCATCTTGTAGTATATCGCTTCGCGAGAAGCGTGGCCAGAAAGCGCCCGCCACGACGCAAGCACTACAAGAGTTCTCGGTGCGCGCGTCGCCCCTGGAAGTGGGGGGGGGGCGACGCACAAATAGTATTAGTATGTTGGGGTGGCGCCGTTGTGGTCCGACATGGCGATTAACAAAAAAGGCGATCACGGTGTTTCGGTTGTTCAGCTGCTTGGTCCAGAGAGGCATGGCAGACAGCGGTCACGCAGCGCTGCGTAAATGCATCCAGCGCATCCGCACTCGCGCGCGGACTGAGCCGCCCCGTCCAGCTCTCTCCCGCGTCTGCCAGCGGCCCGCGGCCAGCTGCCCCACGCCACCAGCCTTCGGTCGGACATGTCCCCCTACAGGCAGGTGTTGGAGGATAAATAAGCAATCATCGCAAAATGATCAAAAATGGTCCATCAATAGTCGAAAAATTGACCCCAAACTACTTTGGGACTAGTTTTGATTACTCCTACTGCAGAGGATCATGCCCGAAACCCCAGCCTCTAGGCCCAGTCGGCCGGCAAGCGGGCGCGGCCCGGCCCCCTCGCACGGCCCCCAAGAACCCCACAAGAATCTCTCCCGTTAAGGGGTCCTGGGCAGTCCCCGTTGACGACTGCGGAGGAGGAGGAGGAGGAGGAGGAGGAGAGGAGGAGAGGAGGAGGAGGAGGGGGGGGAGGGAGGAGGAGGGGAGGGGAGGAGGAGGAGGAGGAGGATAGGAGAGAGGAGGATAGGAGGGAGGAGGAGGGAGGGGGGAGGGAAGAGGGGAGGGAGGAGGAGAGGAGAGGAGGAGGAGGAGGAGGAGGAGGACTGCCCCGAAGAACTCCCCTCAGACTGCCCCGAAGAGTTCCCTTCGCGGGGCGGCAGCGGCAGCGGCTGCTCAGGCGCCCTATGGGGTGGGGGGGCGCACCCGTGCTCCTTGGGGAGGGCGGCCGCGAAGGAGCACGGGGGGGGAGGCGGGAGAGCCGGTGGGACGTCCAGGGGCGAGGACGTCCAGCGAGGGGGAGGGGAGCGAGCTATCAGGAGCGGGGGGGCATCTGCGTGAGAACGGACGGGCCCAACACCCCGTTCCCCCTCCTCCTCCTCCTCCTCCGCCCCCTCCTCCTCATCCTCCTTCCTCTTCCTCCTCTTCCTCCTCCTCCCCCGCCCTCCTCCCTCCTCCTCCCTCCTCCTCCCCGCCTCCTCCTCCTCCTTCTCCTCCTCTCCTCCTCCTCTTCCTCCTCCTCCCCCTCCCCTCCTCCTCCTCCTCCTCCTCCCCCACCCCCTCCTCCTCCTCCTCCTCTTCCTCCTCCTCCTCCTCCTCCCTCCTCCTCCTCCTCCTCCTCCTCCTCCTCCCCCTCCTCCTCCTCCTCCAGACTCGATTGAAACTGCCCTGCGCGAGCTCTCAGGAGCGATATAAGACAGGCGGCGTCCCCGAGAGAACGCGCCCAGGGAAGGCACGAGACAAACAAGGCCGAACCTCATTCAACAGCATCAGGTCAGCGGGCGCACGGGACAGGCCAGCTGATGTGTAGTAGCTACCCGGAAGGAGAACCGATGGTTTTCAACACGTGGCTCTCGCCTTCCTGGCTTTGCTTTCTCATGTAGCGCGGTGCTCGGCACCTTGAAACGTACTGTTCTTTCCGTTCGGCTGAAAAGTGACTTTGAATGGTCCATCGTGCATGTTGACATGTGACTGGGATTCCTCGGGGTTCTTTCTGCCGCAGACCCCCGAGATGGTCATCAAGTCCATCTGGGCCCTCAGGACTCGTGGTCAACTTCGCCCTTGGACCACGCTGGCGAACGTCATTCTCACGGTTGAAACTGTACCAGCAAACGCCCTTCGCAGGCTCTCGCTGGTCCTCGCTGGCTCTCGCTGGTTCTCGCTGGCTCTCGTTGGTTGTCGTTGCTTCTCGGCGGCCTCCCGGCCTCGGCGGCGGAGGCTCTCGCTGGCTCTCGCTGGCTCTCGCTGGCTCTCGTCCGCTCTCGCTGGCTCGCCTCCTCCTCCAGGCGTCTTCCACCCACGCCAGCGCGGTGCTCCTCCTGGACTCCCAGCCTCCTGGCCACGTCTTGCGCTTCGCCCTCCACCTCGCCCTCATCCACGTCCTCCTGCTCCTCCTCGTCCTCCTCCGACTCCTGCTCCTCGGTCTCGTTGCCGTCCTCCTCCTCCTCCTCCTCCTCCTCATCCTCCTCCTCGTCCTGGCCTCTTGCTTGCCCATCTCCTCATGTTCGCCCTGCCCCACGCCACCGACGCCGCGCGACCATCTTCCCCGCCCGCAGCAGACGGGGAGGACGTCGGAGCTGATCTCGGACTGACAGAGGCGGTAGTGTCGGAGCTCGTGAGCGTTTTCTTATTCGGCGCTTCGACACTGGGCGGAAAGCGGGGGGAGGGGGGGGAGGGTCTGGCTCCGGACCTGTGCTGAGCGCGACGGCGTGCAGCAGTGCGCCCTGTGGGGGAGACTCCACCTGCTCCCACCTGCTCGGAACAGGCGCCCAGAAACAGCCAAGACCCACTTCATGGGGGGGGAGGGCGGGTGCGAGGGCCCGCGCCGATCTGGAAAAGAAAAAACGCCATAAACATAAACTGTTTGCCCATCCGCGCGGATTTCTTGGATCTGCGCTGGATCCCCCTCCCTGGCGCGCGGAGCGCGCCAGGGGTGGTGCCGGAGGTGCCGCTGGGGGGGCCCAGCGCGGATCCAAGAGATCCGCGCGGAGCGCCAAAAACCTTTGTTCCTTGCGTTGTTTGGGACAGGCGCGTTCCACTATGCGCAAATCAACTACTCGCAAATTGCCTGGATCCGCCGCGGGGGATCTACGGCACAGAGCATAGAAAGGAAGACCTGTTCGGTTTCGGACGCTGGCGAGCAGGCACGTTGGCGAGCAGTGGAGCGCGCTCGGCGGTGTTTCCTCTTCGGCGATCGGCAAAACAACGGATAAGAAAACGATCGCCTGGACGCGCCGGAACTGCCGTTCGGAGCTGGTCTGAAGATCACCTCGGCGCACTGCGGGAGGAGGCGGGGGGACGCGCGGCCTTCTCCTCCTCCTCCTCCTCCTCCTCCTGCTCCTGCTCCTCCTGCTCCTCCTCCTCCTCCTCCTCCTCCTCCTCCTCCTTCTCCTCCTCCTCCTCCTTCTCCTCCTCCTCATCCTCCTCCTCCTCCTCATCCTCCTCCTCCCCCTCATCCTCCTCATCCTCCTCCCCCGCATCCCCTCCCCGGGGAATGAAGAGGGAGAGGGAGGCTGAGATCGAGAAGAACACGAAGAGGAGTCACATGACCTGTGCATCTGTGTAGAATTATACGTCTACATCAAGCATGCGTCGACGACGAGGTATTCAAAGGCGAAGGCAAATATGAGTACGACAAGGAGTCAGGAGGTGCAGCAAGTATGGATAAAGGGAGTAGGCATGGATAGGACGGCTCACTGAAACACAATGAGTAGCATAAAGACGAAGCGAACAGCGCAGAGAATTGCATAGAGGCAGCTGGTATTGAACAAGACACATAAACAGGACAACGACACTACACTCTACGAAAACAGAGCAGGAGGTACACCCTCAATATCAGGAGCATCAGTGTATAAGCAAACGTTTGTACAGAGAGAGAAAAGAGAGTGAGAGAGAGAGAGATAGAAACACAACAATATAATGACACTGCTTGAAACCAATGTACAGACACATAGCTAATAAAAACGACAGAGAGATCTGCCGATCCCCACTTGTAAGAGTGAAAAGGCGTGTAAGAAGATTGGCTGTCCCCCTCCCCCATTCCCCCTCCGTTGGGTCCAACATATCGCCAGTGGGGGCCCCGTAGAAACTCGTCAACCCACCTTTGGGGCCATCCCAAGATGCTCGAAGTACCTTCCAAATCCAGAACACCCCAGATGCTCAAGACGGCCCGACATGCCCAGAAGACGCCCAATGAGTGCCCAAAAGGACCCGCAAGACAACGACAAGATGTCAAAGTCGCTGGCGTTGCCCACGTTGCCGAGCGATGCTCGCGCTCTCGCCACATCGGGGTCCTGGACGCCGAGAAAGCCCTCGAGACTGGCCCGAGAAGAGCGGCGTGGCCCAACGAGGGCCCGGAGAGGACCCAAGAGGGCCACGAAGCTCCCCAAGACTGCCACAAAAAGGCCCTCCAGGGGCCTCCAGAGGGCAGTAGCCCTCCCCAAACTTCACGAGAGGGCCCCCAAGACGCCCAGCGTGCCCCAAAGATGCCCCCAAGAGACCCCCTGAGCAGTCCTGAGAGCACCAATAAGCACCCAGGAACTATGAAAATGCCAAGAGGCTGTCCCAAAGACCTCCAAGAGGCCCCGTAAGAAGCCGCGCAGCAGATTCGGAGGTAGAGGGGGCAAGCCAGAAACCACTACAGTCAATGCGTATCAGAAGGACGCGCGATAAGGATGTAAGGGCCTTGGAAGCCCATTACGAAGGTTTTCGAGAAGGGGGGCGGCCAACGAAAGTGGCCAAGGATGGAGCGAGGAGGGAAGGATGCAGGGGGTACCCTTGGGAAGGTCGCCGATCCTTACTGTGCGGGTTGGCTGTACACACGCAGGCAGCACGACGCGACAAGGCAAGCAAAACATACGACATCGGAAGCCGCACACATCGTCTTCTGGTGGGGGGCGGCGGAATGGCGCAAGCCTCTTGAGTCCGCCACCGTGCCTAGAGCACGTAGTGGAATGCCACAAAGACTCCTCCTCCTCCTCCTCCTCCTCCTCCTCCAGCGCCTGAGGGGTAGAGGGGTTGCAAGGGTCTCGAGGGTCTGAACCCCTGGCTTTCCGGGAACTCCTGTGGCTCTTGGGAGCCGCTCAGCCAGCCTCAGAAAACCCCCCGAACTCTTGAGTGTCCCAAGAGCCGCCTTGGTGGCTACGCTGATACCCAGAGCGGTCCAAGACAGCTTCAAGATGGCCAACTGTGGACCCAAGACGGTCCAAGAGGCCCACAAGACGCCCCAACAGGGCCCCCAGAGCACCTCGCAAGAGAGCCCCCCGAAGCCTCTTGGGCTTTCACAGCGTCCAAAAAGGACCAGGAGACCCCAAAATCTGTCAACGTGGCCCCCAAGTTCGCCCCGAGAGGCCCCAAGAAGGGCTCCATGACGGCGCAAGGGGGCCCAAAGAAGGTCCGAGAGGGCACCAGACGGCTCAAGAGAGCTCCAAGACAGCCCCAAGAGAGGCCCCAGGGGTAAAATACAAAACGGACATTGCGAGCCTTCGGCCACAAAAGATCCCCTGGAGGCCCCAAGAGGCCCAAAGAGGACCCCCGAGAAGCCCCTAAGTGGGCCCAAAAGACCCCCGAGAAACCCCCATTACGCTCGAAGAGGCCCCATAACGGCTCATCCAAACGGCTCCCGAGAGGCCCCCTGCGACATCCCAACGAACATCCTCCAGGCCTATTGGCCGAAGGCCATTACATCCTCCACCCCCTGCTGGCTCTTCGTCAGGGATTCCCAGCGTGCTAAGCTTCAAATGGTTTGGTTTTTTAGAGCACCCCCCTGGGGCTTCGACCCAGCGCGCCAGCCACCCAGAAGGGACGGGAAACAACCTCAACGTCCGGGAACAAAACCCCCAACACAGCTCAAGATGGCCTCTCCAAGAAAGCAAACGTAGCCCCTAGATGCCTCCGAGATTCCTCCAAGACGGCCAAGATGGCCCCAAAGCAGCCCAACATGGCCCCAAGATGCACACAAGACGGCCCAAGATGGCCACAAAATGGCCTGAGAAGGCCCAAGAGGCCTCCAAGAGGGGTCCAACACGGCTCAAGAGGCCTCCAAGACAAAATGATTGATTTTCCCGGATCGTTCAACGATTTTGGCATATGCTTCCAATAGGGCGTCCGACGGCCCAAGACGGCCCAATAGGCCCCAACATGGCGCCAAGATCGCCCAAGAGGCCTCTAAGACGGCACCAGGACGACCCACAAAACTCCCACGACGGCTCCCAAAAGGCCCCAAGACGGTCCAAAAGGCCTCTCAGACGCCTGAAACTCCACAAGAGGGCCCCAAAACACCCCAGAGAGGCTCCCAAGACGGCCCCCGCCGGCGTCAGACAGGCCAGGAAGGCCGTAAGACAGCCACAGGGGCTCCCAAGAGGCCCACAAAGGCCCCCAAAGGCCCCCAAGAGGCCCCAAGAGGCCCCCAAGAGGCCCCCAGGAAGCTCGCAGGAGGCCCCAAAAATGCCCCAAAAAGCTTCCGAGAGGTCTCATCATCCTTCTCCTCGCTCCCTTTTCCTCCTTCTCGTCTCATCTTCCACTTCCTCTCCCACGTGTTCCCCGAAGGGCTCCCACAACGGCTGGGGAACGCATGGCCCAATGGCGTAGCAAAACTTTGCCCAAACGTTTGGCCACATAGGCGTATCCTAGAAGGCAAGGGGCGGCGGTGATTCTCTGTATGCGTTTCCATGAAGAGAAAGGATTTGGGCAAAGGCAGAACCTAACAGAGACCGATACATATAGAACGTAGTGGGCCAATGGTCACGAAGTGCTAACGGATCAGCACGGAACGCACGTCAAGGCTGGACGACGAGGCGGCAACAGTGGGCGCCGAAGGGGCCATGAAGTCCAGCCCTGTGGGCATCGTTGTCGTTGCCTGCGTCGTTTTCGTCTTCGTCGGCGCAGGCGATGCAGGAAATACTGCGACAGCAAGGGTGGACGCCGAGCCCGTCACGATGTCCAGCTTCTTGATCAGACCGAGCTCGTCTGCCATGTCGGAGGCGCTGTTCTTGCCGTTCACCTCGGCTCCCGTGGTGCCGGACGCCCTCCCCCCGAGGCGAGGCCGGAGAGCGACGGGGCGGAGCGGCAAGCGAGGAGGACCCCTCTCGCCGCTCGCCTCGGCCCTCGAGGGGGGAGAACCCGGCTGTTTCCCCGAAGCGAGGGCAGAGAGAGCGCGAGGACGAACGGCGGGCAGAGACGAAGTACGAAGGCGTCAATTACACACCTATGCCGACCATGGCCAGGTTGATCCTGGGCCCGGGATCGATGCATGCACCCCGTGGCCTGGCGAGGAAGGCACATCGACCGATTGTAGGACCAGGTTTGGCCTGGCCAAGATCAACGCAAGCGCACGGCTGACGCCCTCCGATCAAGGAGGGGCAAAAGCCGCGCGCAAACCTTCAGCGCTCCTTCAGCGCGCTCAGCGTGCGCACTGCTCATCACTTGAATATGCCGGTACCCCAGGTCCTAATCTCCCCCTTCCGCCGTCTGCACGCGCACATAGACTGCTGGGGAATCCGAGGAGGAGGAGGAGGAGGACGAGGAGGAGGAGGTGAACAGATGCACAGAGGGGAAGTATGGAGGAGGAGGGAAGGAGGGGTGGGAGTACGAGGAGGGCGAAGAGAAGAAACATCGGGTGACGCCAGCTGTCCGCCCCATCGATCCTGGCCAGGCCCATCCTGGGCCCAGCAGGTACACCGATCCTGGGCCACGAATGAGCCTGGCGAGGATCGGCGACGTGGGTAGGTGACAGCCCCCGAGGGAAGGAAACGCGTGCAGCCTGATGCGCGACCGAGTGACGGAAGCGCCTGGCCCCAAGGGGGAGGCCTCACAGCGCCACGTCCATCGGCGGGTGCGGCCCTCCCTCGCTGCATCGCGGGCCTGGACGCGGCCGGCAAACGAAGGGCATGGAGAGGCGCTCACCGACGACGAACACCAGGCCCCAGCGGCTCCGGCATGCCCAGGGCATCGTCCACGGGCTGGCCCGAGGGGTCACCCACACCGAAGCGGGTGGAGGCGAAGCCCTCCCCGACCGTGACGACGGCCACTTCCATGCCCAGCATCGGCCCGCTGCGGAAGCGCGCGCGCGTGTCGGGGGCGAAGGTTGGCGGGTCCAGGCCCGTGCCAGGAGGCAGCGGAGGAAGAGGAAGAGGAGGAGGGGGAGGAAGAAGGGGAGGAGGAGGAGGAGGAGGAGGAGGAGGAGGAGGAGGAGGAGGAGGAGCATGAGCAGCAGGAGGAAGAGATGGAGGAGGGGGGAAAGAGAGGCGCACAGGAGGGAGGAAGGGAGAGCCTCGACGATCACGTCGCCCTCCTTCACCTCGCGGTCCGAATTCTTCTTGTTCCAGTCGGCCAAGAGCCCTGCGCGCGCGCCCGACAGGGCAGCTGGGGCACGCACGGACTTTCGAGCAGCAAAGCTCAAGCCTGTCGCCTCCACGACACGCCTTCCTGCAACAGGAGGTACGGCGACCCTAATCCCCGACTTGGGGGACGACTCAGTTGGGGCCCGACTCGGGGATACGCGATAGGGGGCTCCGAAAGACCTCAGGGATCCTTCTGCGTCTACGTAAAAATCCCAATTGTTATTCAAACCCCTTGGCCCCTCGCCGTAGTCGACGATCCGCATACTCTGGAACACCCCTGGCCGTACAGAAACCTCTGGCCACACAACACCGATCTGGTCACAAAAAAAAAACATCTCTCGGGGGGGCGCAGGTGCTACCTCTGGGAGGAGAGCCGCCCGCAGCAGAGAGGCACCGAGGCATCGAGGAGGAGGAGGAGGAAGAGTGAAGGAAGGGAGGAGGAAAATGTCTAGTGAGAACACAAGACTCATCAAAGATGATGGAGTGCACTCAGCCTCCAAGCTCCCTCTCATAGGCCCCACACAAGGGCTCAATTCCACTGAGGGAACCGCCCTGTCGGGGGACAACAGTGTGAAAATTATGAAGCGCGCCAAAATACAATCTTCGAGAGTTTTGATCCCTGAGTCAATCGAACTGCTGCGTCTTGACGATCCTGAATCGCGCCCAAAAACCATTCCTTGGACTTCAACACCGCGAATCAAAAAACTGTTGCGCCCTGGAAATCCTGAACCAATTCAAAACACAAGTTCGGCGACATTAGCCATGACAATTAATGACACCCTCGCAAACATCTACAAAAGAATCGCCCTCAATCCGTGAAGCGTTTGCAAACTTCTGAAACGAATATGCGCTGCGCTAAAGCGAGAAACTCATGTTGAAAACGCTCCCCCCCTCAATCCGTGAAACTCTAGCGACTGTGCTTAACGAACATGTGCGGCGCTAAGGCGAGAAGCTCATCTTGCAAACGACCCACCCTCAATCCGTGAAACTCCTACACATGTTTTAAAGACATGTGCGCGGCGCTAGGGCGAGAACCCCATTTTGAAAGTGGCCCCTCCTCCATCTGTGAAGCTGTTGTTAGCTTCTAAGCTCCAAGCTCACGAATGGTAAAGAAGTCTCAGGCGAACCGCCAGGCCCGCCATTCCGACTGGCCGCGGGGTGTGAGAGGGAGGAGTTAGTCACAAGGAACAGGAAAGGAGGCGGAAGAAGGAAGGGGGGGAGGAGGGCAAGATACGTGCGCTCGCGTCAAAGCCAGAAGCCTACCCCTCCCAACCATCCCTTCCGATTGCATTGCGTTTTCTCACTCCGCTGACGAGTGCCTCAGCGGACCTGGAACTCCAAAAAGAACGCCGTCGTGCTAGGCGCAATCGGAAAGAATTGGAACTGCGTACTTTGGAGGAAGAGGTAACGGATGAGCAGGAAGATGAGCAGGAGGAGAAGGAGGATGAGGACGGAGGAGGACGAGGACGAACAGCATCAGTAGGAGCTGGAAAGGAATGAGAGTGGGAGGGACAGGAAGCCCAGGGGAAGGCGGAGGAAGAGAACTGGGGGGAAACAACGATGAGAAAATACTCGGATCCAGAAAAGTGTCTCGCGCTGGGACGTGAGCGTCATTCTGAACGACGGGAGCAAAGCGACGATCCGAAAATGAGGCCCATGCTGGCGCGGGAACACCATTGTGAACACCACACAACTCGGATTGTACAGGAAGACGATGCTTAACATCCTGCATGTAAAACAAGATGCGGAGAGGGCCGAGCAGCTTCTGGACAGAATGCTGGGAGGGATGAGACTTGCATTCATGATGTGTGAGGAGGGCTAACTCAGCGCGCTCGTGCCAGATCTGACATCATCGCCCTCCCACCCATACCTTCCGATGACGCTGATTGTCTCTTTCCGCCAACGCGCGTAGTGGCAGACCCATAATTCCAAACAAGACCCCTACCGTGTTATGGGCAATCGGAACATGGGAGCTGCGTACACTGGAGGAGGGGAGGAGGAGGAGGAGGAGGAGGAGGAGGAGAAGGAGGAGCAGGCGGATGAGATTGAGGAAAAGCATAAGGAAGAGGAAGAGAAGGAGAAGAAGAATGAGGACGAAGGATGGAAAGCAGCAGCAATAGCAGGAGTGGGAGAAGCTGGCGGAGCAGGATGACCAGTGGAAGGCAGGGGAGGGGGAAAGAAGCGGGGCGACAATGATAAGGAACACTCGGATCCAGAAAAGCGGGCCGCGCTGGGGCGAAAGCGCCACTCTGAACGACGGGAGCAAAGCGCCGATCCTAACTGAAAAAGACACGATGTTGAAGGACTCGAAGCGCGGAAATGCGGCCAACGCTGCATCGGAAAGACCATTCTGAAGGCCTGGGCACGACTGGATGGTAAACATCAATAGGAAAACAACACGTTCGAATCCCGCGCGTAAGAAACAATACGCGGAGAGGGCCGAACATCTTCCTGACAGAGTCAGGGGAGAGAGGAAAGTAGCACTCATACTCTACAGTTTGAAAGCATGGAGAGAGGGAGGAGGGGGAGGAGGACGAGGCAGGGGAGGAGGGGGACGAGGACGAGGAGGGGGAGGCGGAGGGGGGGAAGGGGTGGGAAGAGAGGAGGAGGTGAAGGAGGGAGAGCAGGGAGAGGGGGATGAGGACGACGAGGAGAAGGAGAAGGGAGGAGGGGCGTCCCAGCACGGCAGAGACATCACCTCATCCTCGAGCCTCTCGCCGTCTTCGACGTCGGAATCCCCGGACTCCGCTGCAGCCCGCCCGATGGCAGCTCGACAGAGCTCCTGCCCGCGTGGGCGGCCCTCAGCCACTGGGCCGCGGGCTCTCGGCAGCTGGTCCCGCCCACTCACGTCAACCCGCCCCCAGGTCACAGAAGCCTGCACGGGCACTTGAGAGGAGGCTGGCTGCGACCAGGCCTGCTCCTGTGGAGCGCCTCTCGCCGCTGGAGGGACTCCGAGGCGTCTGCGCAGGGTTGAGACCCGGACCCTTCTCTGCGGCGGGGAATCGGCCCAGCTTTCTGCTGCACCTCAGCTGGTCCCAGGAGCCTTGACCCACGTGACCACGGCCCTCCTGCAGACTTACGTCAACCTGCCGTCAGAGCTCGCAGCGCCGGACCTGCATCGAAACAACATGAAAAGATGTCGGGGGGTCAATTCATCGATTTCACACTGGAACATGCGGTGGTCCCCCCACGGAAGAGGTGGAGGTTGGGAGACAGAGGACGACCCGCAGGAGGAATAGCCGTCGGGAGCAGTGCCACTTTGCAGGGGAAAGCCCTCTCAGCCGATCGACCCCTGGACCTCTCCTGGAGCGCGATCCAGCCGCGGGAGCGCCACGGTGGGGGGGGGGGCGCCAGAGCGCGCGCATCCCTTGCCCCCACCCCCCTCATCCTCCTCCTCAGCCTCCTCCTCCTCCTCCGCCTCCTCCTCCTCCTCCTCTTCCGCCTCCTCCTCCGCCTCCCCCTCCTCCGCCTCCTCCTCCTCCGCCTCCTCCTCCTCCTCCGCCTCCTCCTCCTCCTCCGCCTCCTCGCCTCCTCCTCCTCCGCCTCCCTCCTCGCCTCCTCCGCCTCCTCCTCCTCCTCCGCCTCCTCCTCCTCCGCCTCCTCCTCCGCTCCTCCTCCTCCGCCTCCTCCTCGGCCTCCTCCTCTCCCGCCTCCTCCGCCTCCTCCTCCTCCGCCTCCTCCTCCGCCTCCTCCTCCGCCCCTCCTCCTCCGCCTCCTCCCCTCCTCCTCGCCCCTCCTCCTCCTCCTCCTCCTCCTCCTCCTCCTCCTCCTCCTCCTCCTCCTCCTCCGCCTCCTCCGCCTCCGCCTCCTCCGCCTCCTCCTCCGCCTCCTCCTCCTCCTCCGCCTCCTCCTCCTCCTCCTCCTCCTCCTCCTCCTCCTCCTCCTCCCCAGGCCCCGACGCACGCGCCGTCCAGGGACATCCGCCTCCCCTGACCCGCGGGGCCGCGACCGCGGGCCCCCGGGCGGCGGCGGGCACGGGCCCCGCCGGGCCCCCGGAGGGCGGGCCGCGGGCCCATGCCCACCGCGCGCCACGAGGCCCCGCTGCGCGGCCCACCGCGGTGGCGGCCGTGGACCTGTGGAGTCAGGAGAAGGGAGGGGGCTTACGCGCTTTTTCTGCGGCCAGGTCCAGGGGGAGCTGCCACGAGCCCAGCACACGGCGAGGCACCCTCTCGAGTGTTCGGGCCCTCGAAGAACGCGAGTTCCGGAGGCCCCCCCCCCCACCACACACGACCCGCGGTGCGGCGTACAGGCCAGAGGGCTCTCGGGTCGTGTTCGTGCAGGGCCCCCCCCCCCTGACGCGCAACCCTCGGCCAGCCACGCGTGCCCAGCCCGACCCTGCCCAAAGCCGTGGAAGGCGAGACTGACCAGAGATCCAGCCGTGGCGACGAGGGGGCCCCAGGAGGCGAATCAAGACCCCCAGATCGTGCTCAACAGAACTACTCTAGGCTCACGTCGTGGCGTCTTGCGGGTTCTGACGCCGCGTGGATCGTTCAAACTTGAACGACCGCGGCCTCCCGACAGCACGGATCGTTCGATGACGGCCGATTCCAGGCCCACCTCGTCGCCTCCCTCCCCCAGGAGAGAGGAGGACGAGGGTGGAGGAGGGAGGTGAATATTTCGGGGGACGAGGGTGGAGGAGGGAGGACGAGGGTGGAGGAGGGAGGAGAAGGGAGGGCGAGGGTGGAGGAGGGAGGAGGGAGGAGGGAGGAGGACTCGACGTGGTGGTTGTGAACATCTTTTAGGGGCCCGCAGTGCGCACAGCCCCCGGGCGGTTGCGCTCCACTGCGGGCGCTGCGGGGGGGGGGGCCACCGCCGCGACCCCCTACGGCGCGGACCTGCCGCAACTCGGAGCGGGGCGGGCCGAGGCGGCGACAGCTCTCAAAAGCGGTCCCCGGACCCCATCCAGGGGCTCAAGCGCACGGGTTTTCCGAGCTGCGCCCAGACGCGGCGACGGAGGGGGGGCCCCGAAGGCCAACTGCCGTTTTATCAACTCGCCCTCCTCTGAGTAACTTCGATCGGTGACGACGACGACGGCGACGACGACGACGACGTCGTCGACCACGACGAATGCACCAGAGCCGTTGATCTTGAGGATCGGCAGGTCGGTACCAGTCTCTTTGCCGTTCTCGGGGACGGTGTACTCGATCCCTAACGACTGCCCGACCTGGGCAGGCTGGGGCCAATAGGGCGAAGCCAGGACAAGGACGAATTTGGGTGGGGATAAATCGAGAAGTGTCTGAGATCTGGCGGCCTTGGAGGATGTATCGGGCGCCGCGGCCTTTCCAGAGCGTTCTGAAACGATCTGAGAGCGTTCCAGAACGCTCTGGGACGGCTATATCCGAACGATATGAGAGCGTTCCAGAACGCTCTGGGGCGGCTATGTCCTCGTCCTAGTCCCGTCCGAGCAGGGGCCAGCCCAGACATCTGGCAACTCGTTCCTGCGTTTGGGCCTCTGGGTGTAATCTTGGGGCCCGGGACGGGCGGAAAAAACATACTTTGAAAGGGAGCGAGAGCTCGGGGGGCCGCCGCTTCGCAAAGATCAGTTCGGAGGCCTGGGACCACGGCCAACCCCTGAGGGCTCCTTTGAACGGCCGGCTTGTGAGAGGCTGTCGTCGTCCTCCTCTTCCTCCTCCGCCTTCGCTTCCCTAATCGTAATCATACTGGTGGTGGATTCCCCCCGATGTCCATCAATGTTCCTCATCATCCCCAACATCCTGTTGTCCTTTCTTTTCTTCTTCTTCTTCTTCCTCCTCCTCCTCCTTCTCCACTTGTTCCTCCATGTGCTTCCCTTCCTTCTCCTCCTCCTCCTCCTCCTCCTCCTCCTCCTCCTCCTCCTCCTCCTCCTCCTCCTCCCCCCTCGCCTTCCTCCTGCTCCATCTCCGGCTCCCCCTCCTCCTCCTGTTCCTCCTCATCACCACCAGCATGAATAACATTCCCAAGCACCCAATCCACCTCATTCCCCATCACCCTCTTTCCTTTTGACCTTTCCACCATCCCTCGCCCCGCACCAAAACTCAAGGGTGAAACATTCAGGATAATTTGCATCGGGGACTGACCCATCTTACCCGCACCTCTCCACCTCTCCACCTCTCCACCACAACAACCTCGTCAGTCATGTCCTCATGACAGCGACATGTCACTTGGCTCGTCTCCACAACGCAAGGAAAACATGACTGGCTCATCCATAAAGTGACAAGGCCTGAAGCTCAAAATGTGGCGTCGGATAAAATCACGGCTGGGTTTGGATGGACTTTAGTCTCGCCCACGACATCTTTGTCGATCGATACCGTCCACTTCTCCTGACAAGAACAAAGAACGACGACAACGGCGACGACGGCACAGATCAGAGCGCTACCTCACTCCCCGGCACGGGTTCGACGGTATGCTGTGCTACTGTCTAGTGCTGACCCGGACGACCCAACCGCGCTAAGCGTTGCCATGGCTAATCCGTTGAGAAAGAGAAAGAGAAGCGAATAGAGAAGATACCCGAACAGATCGGAAGTAGAACCTGAAGTCATGCTTGGCAAATTTCCACAACCTGAGTACTGCTCCTACTCTTCATCCTCCTCCTCCTCCACATCATCATCATCACCACCACCACCACCATCATCATCACCACCACCTATATTATCATCATCATCATCATCATCATCATCATCATCATCATCATCATCATCATCATCATCATCATCAGCATCATCATCATCATCAGCAGCAGCAGCATCATCACCATCACCCATCATCAGCATCATCATCAGAAGCATCTGCATCATTATCATCATCAGCATCATCACCACAACCATCATCATCAGCAACATCATCATGCCCCTTCCATCCTCCTTCCGTATCACGTATCACTCATCCGTCCACCCTCCGTCACCCCGTCATGCATCCTCCTCGTCCGCGTCCTCGTCCTCGCCCTTCTCCTCCTTCTTCTCCTCCTCCTCCTTCTCATCACTGGCCTCGTCGTCGTCGTCCTCCTCCTCATCCGCCTCCTCCACGTTCGCCTCTGCCTCCTCTGCCTCCTCCTCCACCTCCTCCTCATCAGCAGCAGCAGCAGCAACAGCAGCAGCAACAGCATCATCACCATCCTTATCATGATCATCATGATCATCATCAGCAGCAGCATCAACATCACCATCACCATCACCATCCTCATCAGCAGCATCATCATCCTCATCAGCATCAGCATCAGCATCATCATCATCATCATCATCATCATCATCATCATCATCATCATCATCATCATCATCATCATCATCATCATCATCATCATCATCATCATCATCATCATCATCATCATCATCATCATCATCATCATCATCATCATCATCATCATCATCATCATCATCATCTTCGTCATCATCACCATAGCATCATCATTCTCATCAGCATCATCCCCATCATCAGCAACATCAGCATCATCATCAGCAGCATCATCATCCTCATCCTAATCCTCATCCTCATCCTCCTCCTCCTCCGCCTCCTCCTCCCCCTCCCCCTCCTGATCCTCCTCCTCCTCCTACTTCTCCTCCTCCTCCTCCTCCCTCGCCTCCTCATACTCTTCCGCTGTCTTCTTCTTCTCCTCCTCCTCCGCCTCCTCCTCCTCCTCCTCCTCCTCCTCCTCCTCCTCCAGCAGCTCATCCTCCTCCCTCCTCTCCTCTCCTCTCCTCTGATCTCATCCGGGCTCCTGCTTGGTCCCGTTGGCCGCGTCCGATTTGGTATTGTCGTCGGCTCCTGGCTTGGTCCCGTTGGCCGCGTCCGCTTTGGTATTGTCGTCGGCTCCTGACTTGGTCCCGTTGGCCGCGTCCGATTTGGTATTGTCAACGGCACCTGGCTTGGTCCCGTTGGCCGCGTCCGCTTTGGTATTGTCAACGGCACCTGGCTTGGTCTCGTTGGCCGCGTCGGCTTTGGTACCATCGTCGGCACCTGGCTTGGTCCCGTTGGCGATGTCGGCTTTGTCGACTGAGCTGTTGGTGGATGGCTCGGTTCCATTGACGGCGTCGAGGGGTCCAGGGACCGATCTTGGAACAATTGTAACAGTTGTGGTTCCGTTGCTGGCGTTCAGCTTGGTCCCATTCTCGGCGGTTGGCCTGGTCCCATTGGCGGCGTCTGGCTGCGCCCCTTTGGTCCTGTTGGCGGCATCCGCCTCGGTCCCATTGGCGGCGTCTGGCTTGGACCCGTTGGCGGCGTCTGGCTTGGCAACCTTGGCGGGGTCCGGCTTGGACCCATTGGCGGCGTCGGGCTTGGCCCCCTTGGCGGGGTCCGGCTTGGACCCGCTGGCGGCGTCGGGCTTGGTCCCCTTGGCGACGTCTGGCCCGGTCCCCGTGGCGGCATCCGGCTTGGCCCCCTCGGCCGGCTTGTCGGTGCCTGGCTCGGTCACGTTGCCAGGGGCCGCCCTCGAGCTGCCAACCGAGGTCCTGGGGGGACAGCCACATGGCACCGGTTCCGCAGCTCGCGGGACCTCTTACCTGGCCATCGCTCGGACGTCCATTCCCTGTGTTTTTTGTCGGTTTCGCGCGTGGCTTTTTCGCCAAGTGATCAAGAATGCTCCTCGATGGTCCTCGCCGAGGAAGAAACGCACACGACCGAGCGATGCCAAGTCGCGAAGTGCTTGCTGACCAGGGCTCCGAGGCGAAGTCGGCCGTGGCGACGAGGGCTCCCCAGGTGGCCACGGCATCCAAAAAAAACACGGCGGCCGGGGCATCGGCACCGGCGCGTCTCTCGACTCTGCGGTCCCGTTGGCGGCAGCCCGCTTGGCCGCCTCGGGGGAATTCTCCGGCTTGGACCCGTTGCCATAGTCCACGGCCTTCACGGCGCTCACGCACGCCTCGCCGGGGTCGCAGGCGGTCTTCTCCATGCCCCCAGTGTCCTTGTCGGGGCAGCTCTGGCCGCCGTTGGACTCCAGGTCCATTTCGCGCGTCCGGTACTTCACGCCGGCGCCGCAGATGCACGACTGCCAGGGCCCCCACTCCTGAGGGAACGAAACATGGCACAATCACAGAAACTCGGAGGTCCGCGCGGATTTCTCGGACCCGCGCTGGGTCCCCTGCCCCTGGCGCGCTCCGCGCGCCAGGGAGGGGGGGGCCAGCGCCGATCCGAGAACTCCGCGCGGACCTCCGAGTTTCGATGTTCATGCCACTCTTCCTTCCCCCTAACTCCTGCCACGAGCAGTCCACGGGGCAGGGCGCGGTCTCGCACGGCTGCGTCTCGCCGTCCGCGCCGGTGCAGGGGGCGCCCCCGAACTGGGCCTCCACGCGCCGCGAGCGGTTCCGCGCCCGGGTGGCGCCGCCGCAGGTCGCGGTGCAGGCGCCCCAGCTGCTCCAGTCCGTCCACTCGCACTCCACGGGGCACGGCTGCGCGTTGCAGACCTTGTCCTCTGCGTCGGAGCCCTCGCACAGCTTGCCTGGAGGGAGGCAAAGCGCCGCGATCCCAAACTGTTGGCGCTCCGCACCGATTTCTTGTGGATCCTCGCTGGACCCACTCCCTGGCGCGCGGAGCGGCGGCCCTGGAGGCGCCACCGCGGGGGCCCAGCGCGGATCCAAGAAATCTGCGCAGAGCGCGAAAATATTATCTTTACGGCGTTTTTTCTTCTTCGGTTGCCGTCGTGTGCTGGGGCGACCTTCACCGTCCGCTTGCGGTTGGCGGTGCCGTTGCCGCACGGCTTGGAGCACTTCTCCCAGCCGCCCCAGTCGTCCCAGGCGCAGTCCACCGGGCACTCCACTACATTGCAGCGCTGCTGCTGCTTGGTCCCTCCTTTGCAGCGCTTGCCAGAGCCCGCGGGCTCCGTCGCGACCGCGCGCTCCCGCCACCTCTTGCCGCCGCCACAGGTCCTCGAGCAGTCGGTCCAGCCGCCCCAGCCGCCCCACTGGCAGTCCACGGGGCAGTCGAACGAGTTGCAGGCCTGGACCTCCGTGGCGTTGCCACTGCAGTCGCTGCCCCCGAACGCGGCCTCCTTGGACACCGAGCGGGTGCGCAGCTTCTCGCCGAAGCCGCACTCCTTGGAGCACTTGCTCCAGTCCTCCCACTCTGTCCACGTGCAGTCGACGGGGCAGTCGAGCACGTTGCATGGCTTCGTCACCTTGGGCGAGCCCACGCACTCCTGGCCGCCGTCGCTGGCCGCGACGGAGACGTTGCGGGTCTTCGTGCGGACCTCGGGGGAACGAAGAATGACAGAGACAGGAAAACTCGGGGGTCCGCGCGGACCTCGGAGCTGTCACCTCTCTGTCACTGTTCGCTCCCCTGAGACCCCCCCTCCGCAGGTCTTGGTGCACTTCTCCCACTCGGTCCACTCGCCCCACTGGCAGTCGGTCTTGTCCGTGCCCTCGGGGGCAGGCGCGGGGCTCGGGGCCGGGCGGGGCCCGCCGCCCCCCTGGCCAGCCTCCGTGCCGGGCCTCGCGCCGCTCTCCCCCTCGGAGCTGGCACTTGTGGCGTTGGTGGTGTTGGTCGCATTCGCCGCGAGGGTGGCGTTGTCGGCGTCGTCGGGCTCTGGGGAGGTTGGCTTTGAGGCCGGCGACGGCGCGGAGGCGTTGCCCGAGTCGTCTTCAGGGTCGGCGGTTGGTGCAGGGGTGGGTGCCTGCGTCGGCTCCGGCGTGGGCGCGGGCGTCACTTCTGGCGTCGGCTCCGGCGTTGCTTCCGTCGGCTCCGGCGTGGGCTCTGGCGTGGGCGCTGGCGTGGGCGCTGGCGTCGGCTCTGGCGTCGACGCATTGGCTGGCGTAGGCGCTGGCGTTGCTTCCGTCGGCTCTGGCGTTGGGCGTGGCGTGGGCGCTGGCGTCGACGTGTTGGTCGACTGGCCGGCCAGCGCCGCGTGCGCTGCCAAGGCCGCCACGCCACTCGGCTCCGACCGCACGAGTCGGGGGCGGCCAAGAGGGGGCCCTCCAAGAGGGGGGGGGCGCAAATCATGGCCGGCGGCATGTGCGCGGCCCCGGGGGGGGGGGGGGGGGGGGGGCAGGGACGTGATGAAATAAGAAGAGGCGCGATGGCCTAAGAAGGCCCCGAACAGGCCCCAGGTGGGGCCCAAGACGGGGACCAGGAGCCGAAAAGCCCAGGCTTCCGCCCCAAGAGGCCCTCAGGAGGCCCCATGTGGCACAACCAAGAGGCCTGAAAACTGCCTCCCAGAGGCCCCCAAGAGGCCCCAACACGGCCCCCGAGCGGCGAGGCAGCATGGGCCGGCGGAGCGAGCGAAGCGACTCTCAGAAGAGGAGCCATGAAACTCCTGGGAATCTTCTGGCCCACGCCGTGACTTCCCGCACCCCCCCCTCCTTTCGGGTCGGGCGAAAGGGGGGGATAGCAAAGGGGGGGTTTGAGAATCAGCTCACGTAGCTGATTTTCCCGGCGCCTCCCGGCGCCAGAGGCGGCTATGTATCGAGGAATGGGCTCCTCGGTGAGGCCAAAATCAGCTGCATGCAGCAAATTTCGTAACCCCTCCTTTCCCAATCCCCCCCTTTCGCCCGACCCGATCCTTGTCACGCCACACGCCCCTGGCCGCCCCCGAATGAGCCTCCTCGACAGGCCCGCCCGGGACGAGCTCAGGACAGCGCCGGCGGCGTCCACGACGGCCAGGCGCCCGCCTGCCCAGGGGGCGCGCAAACGCGGACTCGCCAACTCCCTGGACCCGGGGCGCGGATTCGCCAAATCCATGGAAACAGGAGGAGGAGGAGGAGGAGGAGGAGGAGGAGGAGGAGGAGGAGGAGGAGGGAGGAGGAGGAGGAGGAGGAGGAGAGGAGGAGGAGGAGGAGGAGGAGGAGAGGAGGAGGAGGAGGAGGGGGGGAGGCGCCCTCCGCAAAGTGCGGCCGTTGCCGCCCAGCCTCGGCGGCGGACGTCCGCGGCTTCCCGTGGCAGCGGGACCCGTCGCGGATCCGCGCCCCCTCGATCCAGGTTTGCGGTCGCCCGACCTGCCGCGGCGCGCCCCGCCGCGCTGCCGCCCGCAGACCGCGCCGGGCCCGCCTGGCCAGCGTCCACCTCCAGCACGGCAGCAGCGACCACGGCCGCGAGCAGGCCGCGCAGACATGCACGCGAGCGCGCCACGGGCGCCATGCCCGGCGCCCGGCGCGCGTTGCTTTGTGGAAGGAGTCAGACCCTCGGGCCCTGACTCGAGGCAGGCGGCGGGCCGGGCATCGCAGCTCAGAGTCCTGGGCGTTTCTTTTGGCCCGTCTCGGGGTTCTGAATGGCTCGAGGCCCCCGAGGACCTCGAGGGACTTGTCGAGATCTCCGTGGAGCCCCAGGGACCTACAACCAAAGTCTTGCCATGAAAACTGTTGGACAAGGAGCCGAGCTCCTTTCGGGCTTCAGTTGCGCCGCGAAGCACGAGAAACGCCAGGGGAAGACCCGTGGAAGGACCCAAAGGAGCGCCCAATACATGTCGAAACCAAACCGGGTCTCATCTCAAGGTGTTGACTGCACGAGGAACTCTCCGAGGGGTGAGGAGGCGAGCGGCAGCGGCCTCGAGGCGGCGGCGACGGCGGCGACGGGCCCAGCTGCGAGAGAGGCCTCCTAGATAGGGTGGGAGGATCGCGCCGCATCGCCGATACATCGGTGATGCATCGGCGATGTATCCTCCTCACGCCTCCCTCCTCCCTTCCTCTTCCCTCATCCCTCCTCCCTCCTTCTCCTCCTCCTCCTCCTCCTCCTCCTCCTCCTCCTCCTCCTCCTCCTCCCTCTCCTCCTCCTCCTCCTCCTCCTCCTCCTCCTCCTCCCCCTCCCCCCATCCTCTTTCCTCCTCCCCTCCTCCCTCATCCCTCCTCCCTCATCCTCCCCTCCTCCTCCTCCCTCCTCCCTCCTCCCCTCCTCCCCTCCTCCCCTCCTCCCTCCTCCCTCCTCCTCCTCCCTCCTCCCTCCTCCCTCCGCCCCTCCTCCCTCCTCCCTCCTCCCTCCTCCCTCTCCCTCCTCCCTCCTCCCTCCTCCCTCCTCCCTCCTCCCTCCTCCCTCCTCCCTCCCTCCTCCTCCTCCTCCTCCTCCCACCCTCCCTCCTCCCTCCTCCCTCCTCCCTCCTCCCTCCTCCCCCCCCTCCCTCCTCCCCTCCTCCTCCCTCCTCCCTCCTCCTCCTCCCTCCTCCCTCCCTCCTCCCTCCTCCCTCCTCCCTCCTCCCTCCTCCCTCCTCCCTCCTCCCTCCTCCCTCCTCCCTCCTCCCTCCTCCCTCCTCCCTCCCTCCCTCCTCCCTCCTCCCTCCTCCCTCCTCCCTCCTCCCTCTCCCTCCTTCCCTCCTCCCTCCTCCCTCCTCCCTCCACCCTGGGAGCGTTTGGATGCGTCTGGGAGCACCTGGGAGCAGGTGGCACCGGGGTGACTCTGAGGTGAGGCGTCTGCTCGCGGCTCCTCTGGGTTGTAACTCCAGGGGTTGGCCAGCCTGTGGCAAGTAATACAGGTTCGCCCTGTGGGGTCTCGGAGCATCCAGGTGCCACAGAAATTGCATCTCTCTCCAGGGCAAAAGAAGTCCCGCAGCCGCAGTCTGTGAGCTGTGGTGGACCATGGCCACACGTTGTCGCTGCTGTCGCTTCCTTGGATGGGGACTCCAGGGACGCCCGTGGAGCTGGCGGGTATCCCCGAGAGGGCGGCCTCTACCCATGGTACTGGGCCTCTACCTGCTTGTCGTCTCGAGTGCACGTCACTCCCCATTCGCTCGAGGTTCCCTCTCGTGATGGCCCACTGCCTGACGTCCCCATGGTCCGGAAAGTGGACTATGTTTTGTCTGCGCTCGTGAATTAGGACTCGGTGGGCATAGCCCATGACCTCGTCATCCATGGGGTCCTGCGTCCCGTCTGCTCGGTTGGGGCCACTGATGTGCAGGGGGGCTGCGTCCTCAGGGGATCTGGTGGGCATGAGCATCCTATCTGTGTCAAAACCGCTCGGGAGCTCCATTCCTATGTCACAGTAGTGTGCAGCGGCGGCCATGGCAACGTACTCGAGCCGTGCTAGCTGCCTCTCAGTCACTGAGGGGTCGGCTGCCTCCAGTCTTTCCCTTCTTATGCTGGGATCATGAGTAATGCTCGCAAAGCGGAAGGCAAGGACCTGTATTGGGTCCGGTTGAACGCCTCCCAGACGCCCCTCATAGTCTCCTCCAGTGATGGACCACACTAGCCAAGTGTGGTCCAGGATAGCGAGTCGGGGCTGAAGTGGCGAGTTCCGAACAACGTCCAGGGAGAGCTGGTTCTACGGGAGCCGCGCGCATGGGGCTGTCGGCTCGTATGCCAGGGTGGCCTGGGCGGTGCCCCCTCCACGCGTGGTGCATGAGGAACTCCAGGTTGCTGGTCTCACGAGATGTTCTCGGCGCTCCGCGGTTGGGAACCTCGCGCCACGGACCATCAGTGCGCACAAGGTGCCGACGTAGGGCCCTCATGGTGCCCCCCCTGCCAGAGATCCTGGCGTCCGCAACGCCTGGGCCACAGATGGGTCCGTCCGCCTCCCGGCTGGCCGCCCAGTCAGCATTCGCGTGCCCAGTGGCGTCCAGCCACCGGGCGTGGAGGTCCGCAGCGCAGCGCTTTGCCCTCTGCTCCTCAGAGCTTGGCTGGGGTCGTCAAGGTCTGAGGGGGTGGGCGGGTTCTCCATTCGCAACTCATCCTCCAGGGCAAGGTCTGGGGATGGGTAGGAGGGGGGGTCCGCGAGGACGGAACCCCCGTGCGCCGTGTGGCCAACCGCGAAGGGCGAGCCGCTGTCCGTCCAAAGGAGAGGCCCCCGCTCTCTGTCCTGCGACGAGTAGTCAGGTCCACGGCGGCATCCACCGAACGCGGCGTTAGGGAACTCGAGCCCAGGGGGCGGGTCAGGAGGGGAAAAGTCGGGAGAAGAGCTGGTGGACGAGGGAGGAAAGGCACGGGGAGATCCAGCCGCCGGGATCGGAGACCTTGCCCGATCGATCCGATCAACATGAGGAGCGGCCCCGACCGCGGGATCGGAAGCAACCCTGGGGGTGCTGGGCGAACGAGGAGGCCCGCCGGGCCTTCCATCCGCCGATCCCAGAGAGGGACAGATGCGATCGATCATCCCTGTGGAGGAAGGCGCCCCCCTGCGATCACTGGAGTCGGAGACCCCCGACTCTCGTTCCACTCCCTCTGGCGGAAGGCCAGGCCCGTTGCCTGCTCCAGGGAAGCGACGGAAGGTCGCACTATCAGTGTGTATACTGTCGACGCTCTCCCGCCCCGCCTCTGCGGGGGCTGTGTCACAGGTCATGTCTTCCATCTGCCAGCGGTCCCTGGGTCGAACGCCGCGCGCCTCCCTCTGCATGCCGTCGTCTGATCCAGGGTAGCGACGGCAGGTCGCGCGTTCTGTGTGTCTCGCGGGGGAGAGAGCCTCGCCCCCTCCACCAGTGTCGCGCCTAGCGCTCTCACCTCCAGTGGGTCGACTGAAGGCGGCAGCGCTAGGGCGTACACAGCCACCGCACCCCCGCCCAACCCCCGTGGGGGTAGGGTCTATAGTCCTTACTCCCACATCCGACTGGTCCCTGGGTCGAACGCCTTGGGCCTCATCCAGCCTTCCGCCATCCGATCCAGGGCGGCGACGGAAGGTCGCAAGATCTGTGTGTATCTCAGGGATGTCTGCATGACCCCCTTCTCCAGCATTACGCCTGCCGCTCTCGGGCCCATGGGGGCGGTCGAACGCTGCGTCGGCGTCGGGATGCGCATCGCGGGTGGAAGGCCTGGCCCCACCGCTTAGCTCACCAGCGGGGACGGCCTCACTCAGCGCAGGCGCGCCCAGGGGGGGGGGTCGGCGGTGGGTTGGCGCGAGCCTCCGTGAAGCGGGCCAGGGCTGCGGGCAGAGACCTGCCCATTCCTGTTGCCTACGCCAACGTGAACGCCGCCTGAGGGCATCAGCTCCCTGGGTCCACCACCCGAGTCGCCCTGGCCCCTGGGACGACCGCCGAGGACGTTCATCTGCGCCTCGTCAGTTGGCCTAAGCGGGACTGGATCCGTGAAGGGGGTTTGCTCGTGCAGAAGCGAGGCCCTCTCCCCCCGTAGCCCAGGTGTCGCCTAGGGCCGATCCACTCTGTCCGACAGCGCCTGGAGAGAAGGAAATTGGGCGCCCCGCAGCGGGCATGGGAGCGGTGGGGGTGGGAGAGGCGGTCGGGTTAGACAGGAGGGCTTCGCGCCCACGGTCATCGCGTCCAGGGGAGCGACGGAAGGTCGCAGCGTCGGAGTGCATTTTGCCAACGTTCTCACACGACCACCCCCCATGGGGGTTAGCTCCCTGATGCATTCTTCCCCTTCGCACCGTTCCCTGGGCTGAACACCGCGGGCGTTCCTCTGCCCGTCGCAGTCCGTTCCAGGGTAGCGACGGAAGGTCGCAAGATCTGTGTGAATTGTGGGGATGGACACGTTACCCCCTCCTCCAATGCTGCGCCTGCCGCTCTCAGGTCCCTGGGGGTGGCCTAGTGCGGCATCAGCGTCGATGTGCGCGCCATAACCTGAGGGCCCGTCTTCTACGCTCAAAACGCTGCGGAGAGCAGCTTCGCTCGGCGCGGCCGCATCCAGAGAGGGGGGCACGGCGGAGTGAGGGCAGAAGCCCCTAAGATGCGCGACGGGGCCAAGGCGACGCGACTGCCCGTCTCCCCCCACTTCGCCTTCGTGGGCGCCTGCTGGGGGTGTCGGGCCCATGCTCTCCCCATCCACGCCGCCGAGGTCCCTGCGTCGGGAGCCGAGGGCACCTCTCTGCTCGTCGCCGAACTGTCTGAGAGGAACAGGATCCGTGGGGGGATAAACTTCTTCAGGAGTGGGGCCGTTGGCCCCCGTGAACCTAGCATCGCCATGGGCGGTCCCGTTATGCCCAGCGCTGCCTGGAGAAAAGGAGATTGGGCGCCCAGCCGTGGACATAGGAAGAGGGGGGGTAAGAGAAGGGTTGCTAGGCGGGAGGGCCTCGTGCCTGCCATTATTAACTCCAGGGTGGCGACGGAAGGTCGCGCTGTCAGTTTGAAACGGAGGGCTGAACGTATCAACCCCGTCTACCGCTGCGCGTCCGCCGATCTCAACTCCAGGGTAGCGACGGAAGGTCGCAACTTCGGCGTGCATCACAGGGTTGAGGGAATCAACCCCTCCTTCCGATTGGTTGGGGGCCATCGGTCCTCGTGTACACGAAGCATCGGCTGAAACGCTCCCATTCCAGGGAGCAGGGGGCGACGGTTGTCCCGGCGGGATGATGTCCTGAGATCCAGGGCGAGTATGTCCTGAGTCATTCAGTCCATTGGTCCCGAGGCCGACATCGGGTGATGCGGCCCTCGCCCCCACAGGGATGACAAGATTATCGTCGATCGATCGCTCGCCATCAGGCCGGTCATCCATGGGGCGGCGGCCCTGATCCGATCTGAGCCGCGGGCCGCTGAGCCCGTCTGCGCGGCGGCAAGGCTGCAGCAATGGCCGGCGCGCCCAGGGGCCGGTGGGGATCCAGGGCCGCGGGCCCACAACGCTGCGTCTGGGCGCCCCCTTGAGCGGCGGGAGACTGCCCCGGAGAGGGCAGGCCCACCAGACGGCCTTGAGCCAAAGGGGCTTGAGCCAGAGGGGGCTTGAGCCAGAGGCTACGGTCGGGTGGGGATACGCGAATCGTCAAGAGTTCGCCTCGCCGTGAAACTGTCGACACCGCTGGCGACTCCTTGAGCAAGGCGCAGCCGTTGCAGGGACCAAGCAGGGGAGCACGACAAGGGGGTGTGCTCAATTGGGGGATATATATATATATATATTCATATAAATATAAATATAAGTTCCCAATTACTGGCGCGTGCTCAGGCGTTCAGCGTATCATCTGCGCAGTATGCTCTGAAAGAAGGTCAGCATGGGCAAACACTTGATAGAATGCTGGCTCTGTGTGCGCCATGGTGGCATGTGTCAGCGTACCAGCATTGCGTCTGGAGAGCCAGAAGGTGCCAATACATAACTCCAAACGCAATACGTCCCCGGACAAGAAATGCTTGCCGAAGCCACGAATCCGCACTCTGGGAGGCAAATTGGTAGCTTACGATGAAGGCGGGACGTTGATGGGATTAGCGCAACTTGATATCGAATCAGCGGTGCCATGTTGCGAAAAAAGCAAACAGCAACAACGAAAGATTCCTGCACATACCGGTTTCGGATGCACAAGGACCGAAAGAGTAGTAGATGGTTGAGACGGTGGGCATCACTGCGGGAAAGGACTGTGATGATGCAGGCTGGAGAGGAACGAGTAGGACGGCAGGTCGAATATGGAGGAGAATGTGCGACGGGCATCGATGAGAAAGGACACGCCGAGAGCAATATCACGACCATGGCCACTGCAACGCAAAACTACTGCGCGAGAGAGATATTTTGCCGACTCAGCCTTCGGGCAAAGAAGACTGCAAAATTGTAGTGGCAAGCAGCGCATACAGAGAGACAGGGAAAAGGAGGGGCAGGAGGAGCGAAGAGGCAACACACATGACAACTGCATTCCCGAGAAAAGAGAGCGATGACGGGGTAGCGCCGAATAAGGACGCCTGAAGCTACGTGTTTACCACTTCGAGGGGGTTGTAGGCATCATGCTCGTCCGACAAATACGGAGGACTCCCGAATAGGGTCCGAGCCCATGGGGTCGGAGGATCGCACCGCATCGTCGATACATCGGCAATCCATCGGCGACATCGGCGATGCATCGGCGAGGGCGGGATAGGGAACATTTGGTCTCCACATCGAGCCGCATCGTCGATGCGTCGGCGATGCGGCGCGATCCTCCGACCTCGTCTCTGGTAGAGGCGATACGACTGTAGTGGAAAACTTTCCAGAACCGTAGCCAAGGGATTGGCTGTCGGTCCCAATCCGTGTCGGACTCCGAGCAGTCGGACATCTCGCGCCGAATATGGGCGCCCCCTGACACGCCGAAGTCGCCTACAAAACTCGCGAGTGGCAGGTCCAGCACGGACCCGCGAAAAAAAGCGCGAACGTCCGATGTGCTCCAGGAGTCCACGAGCATAGGGCGGATCTTGGGACGTGTCGTCATTGCGCCAACATGGGGCTGATGAGCTGGGGTTGACTGAAGGGGCCCTGGGACACACAAATAAGTACACACAAATAAAAATATTCCCATATTTTCGTATATTTTCTTGGTTTTTGTCTTCCCCACCACTTCCCATATTTTCCCATATTTTCTGGGAATCGACGATTAATTGTGTCTGTGTGTTTTTTCCCCTCCTGATTGACCTCAGACCCGATTGGGGCCTCCACCCGGGCATAGACCGAGCTGTTCTGAAGTGGACATTGCGGGGAATCACGGCTCCCACTGACAGGCGCGAACGGCATATCCCCTCCACACGTGCGGGGGCCATCGACTGTGTTCTGGAACTCGTTGGTCCTGAGGCTCAGCCCCTTGATCCTCTACACCGAAGAAAACATGAAACGCCATAAACATGAAGGTTTGGCGCTCCGCGCGGATGTGGATCTGCGCTGGACCCCTGGCGCGCGGAGCGCGCCAGGGGCGGCGCCGGAGGCGCAGTGGGGGGGGGGCCAGCGCAAATCCAAGAGATCCGCACGGAGCGCCAAAAGCTTATGATGTTGATGGCGTGCTTCTTCTGCGGTCTCTACACGACATCACGACACCGTGCGCCTCTGGCAGGGACTCGGCACGAGGGCGAGGAGGAAGACCGAGGAGGAAGGAGGATCGAGGAGGAGGAGGATCGAGGAGGAGGATCGAGGAGGATCGAGGAGGAGGATCGAGGAACAGGAGGAGGAGGAGGAGGAGGAGGAGGAGGAGGAGGAGGAGGAGGAGGGAGACCCCATCTTGCGCCTGGGGCGAAAAAGCCCAGAGGTGCGGGGGCGGGCCGCGGGCCCGCGGCGGCCGCGGCCCCCCGCGCGCGCGCCGACGCACGCGCAGAGGCGGCGCACGGCCGCCGGGAGGCGCGCCCGCGCCGCGGGGCGGTGCCCGCGAGCAGCGGGAGGCTGCCGGGTCGGGTGCCGCCAGAGGTTCTGGTTGACCCCACAGGGGGTCCAGCGAGAAGGGGGCGGTGCAGTGGATTTGGTGCAGTGGGAACTGTGGGGCTGCAACAGATTCGGCGGTGGACAAACCTCCCTTGAGCAAGCCTCCCCTTAGTGAAAAGCGCCTGGGACCGACACCGACGGACCTGGACCCGCAAAAATGACGGCCGCGACGCCCCCTCGCGAGCCGAAAACGGCCAATTCCTTAATCGACGTGTCAGGGTAGGAGGTCTGTCCACCCCCGACAGATCTGGGGTGTGCAGCCCACTCCGGGGCGCAGATGTATGGCTAGACGCTCGCGCGCGGTACACTCGTTGCAATGCGCTGCAATACGATTCTCGGGCGCAATGCATTTACAGTACAATTGCCCCAAACCTATTGCACTACCCCGTTTCAGCTGGAGACCGCTGGGACACGAGGAGAGGTGCCCCTGGCCTCAGATTATGTACAGTCGACCCGCATCATAAGGACGCACGATAAGGAGCAAAGGGCCTCGGAGGGCCATGTCGAAGCTTCTCGAGCGGGGTGCGGCCAGCGAAGGTGGCAAAGGATGGGCCGAAGGGGCAAGGATGCAAGGGTACCCTTGGAAAGGTTGCCAAGCTTTACTATGCGGGTCGGCTATAAGAACGCTGGGGGGGATCGTTCGTTGTCAGTTCGGTTTCGTTTGCAGGATGAGCTCTGCTTCTGTTTCGGGGTCCTGCCGAAAATCCAATCTTCCACACCAAGTCTTCCACAATAAACTTATGCCTTAGACCCCAGGACGTCCATGGATGTTTGGCGTGGGCACGTCACGCTTTCCATGGCAAAACCATCGAAACCCAAGAAACCAAGGGCACCCTGGAGGCGAGCAGAGTGTTTCTTGGCATGGGCCTCCATTGTAGACTATGTGAAAACGCTGGGGGATGGTACGTTTTCGGTTCGTGTGTTCTGTTTCGGGGTCCGGCGAAAACTTGGTGGGGTTCTCCTTCTTCGCGCCGTTTTCGGTTCGGTTATGTGTGGTACTGCTGTTTTGTCTTTCTGGTTGGGGCTACACAAAAAACGCCCACAGCTTTCCTACCAAAGCCCCTGGCCCGACGTGACCCGAGGATTTCCAGGGAAGCCCAAATGGCCTCCAGTGCAACCCGCACGATACCCAGAGAGCCCGAGGGGCCCAAAATGGCCCGAAAAGCTGGGGGGCACCTTGAACCAGGGGCACATCTGGCAACACACGACACGACTAAATGCGGTCGGATCCTCCGACCCGATGTGCTCCGGCCCCGTTTGGGGAGGCCTGGAACAGACGCAGCGTCACGTATGAGGGGTGTCAACAAAGGGGGTCTTGCTTGAGGGGGGATGCAGTGACCTGGAGTCGGCGATGCATCGCCGATGGATCAGCGACGCGCTTCCGACACGGGTTGCCGCGCGTTCCTGGGCGCAGTGGGGCACCCAGTGCCCCGATCGGCGAGAGAGCGGCGATGGGGCGTCGATGCCTTCCCCCCCTGGTCCAGTCCCCCTCCGTCGTTGCCCCTGAGCACAGCCAAAAGGCGAGACTCGGCGCCCCCATGGCGGGCACTCCACTCACGGGTAACTGCAGCACGGCGAACCCAAGCAGCTGCGGTGCGAGTCGCGAGACTGCTTGCAGGCTCCCCGACAGTACCCGTCAGTGTGCGTGGCGACTCGCGAACCTTACCAGCGCCTCCCGTCGCTTCTCCTGGACCGATGGGAGCCAGGGAGATACGGTTCGAATTCCGCCGCATGTTCTCGACGAGCTTTATGTTGTTCCCATCCTACTTAAAGACGACATCCCGGAAATAAATTCGAGCACCCAGAAAAGTGTCGAAAGAGTGTCGAAACAGTGTCGGGCGAATGTATCCCAGGGCCCGACGCGTGAAACCCTGGAATTTCGGCACTTGTTCGGGCGCTCGAAATTCTTCCTGGTGGTCAAGGCTAAAGCAGGCTGGAACAACCTGCCCGCGCCGCCCGCCGATCTGCACGTGAGGTCGTCGATCGGCGAGGGTGGGGCTCGGACTTCGCCCACCACGGTGCCGCCGAGGGACGAGGGGCTGCGCCTGGCCTCAGGTCGGGCGTGTCGTCCTACAGGCGGAGTTTTTGGACGAGCACGTTTCCCTAGAGACAGTCCAGCATCAAGAATGGCCACACAAGTGCTCAGAAGCCGTCCCCTGACTACCCTTTTGACTGCTTTTGAATATCCCTCCTGTAGAGGGGCACGCCCGACGTAAGCCTGGCCTGTGTGCCACCGCGCCGCGCGCGGCGTCCGCGGCGGTGCAGTGCAGCCGCTGCTGGCGACTCTCCGCTCCTGGCGGCGTGGCTCCTACAGTGCGGGCGGGCGCAGGCGCCTCTCGCCGCTCTCGCCGGGGGATTGCTCTCTGCCCCGGCACGCCTCCGCCGGCCCCGTCGGCCCTCCTCGTGATCGTTCTCTCGTCGGCGTTTCGACATTGGGCGGAAGGGGGTGGGGGAGAGGGGGGGTCCGTCTCTAGGCCCAGAGATCCGACGCCCCAACAAAAAATTGGAGCGGAGGGACGGTGGCAAAGTTCGGCCCCCGGGGGCCCTCGCCGGGCACCGGGAGCGTCAAAAAAGGACTCAGGACGAGAGACCAGCCCGGGGAAGTGGTCTGGACCTCCGGGGACCACGCATCGAAAGAATTGGAGCAGCCAGATGTCTGGGAGCCTCTGCTTGGTGCCACTGTTTGCAACAGTGCGTCCGATGGGGGAGACTCCACCTGCTTGAAACAGGCGCCCAAAACAGCCAGGATCTACTCCATCAGAGGGGGGGAGGGGGGGGGGAATCCCGACGGGAAGGACGGGGGCAATTTGCCTATCCGGGGGCCATTTCGCCAGAGCTCGGGGGCCGTCAACAAAACCGCTCGGGGCGAAACGCCGGCCTGGGGAGAAAGGGTCGGCATTTCTCGGGGCCGCGCCTTGCAACATCTACTCCGAGTTTTTCACTGAGCGTCGGGGGGGCGTAACCCCCGCCGACAACCCCACATCGACCCCCGTCGCGGGCAGCCACAGCGCGCCGAAGGCGCTCCGACCCCCGTCACGGCGGGACGACGAGGCGAGATTGACCCTCGTCCAGGGGGGGACCCCCACACTTATTAAGAAACCCGAAGTAGGCATCGCATGTCCGGGACGGCCTCCAAAGCTCTCGGCTGGTGCCTGCCGCCCCCCCCCGGCCCGAAGTCGGGCGCGTCCCCCCTTTCTACAGGAAAAAAATCAAAAACAACATGCATACATTTATTTATACACACACATATACATATACATACATACATATATACATATATATATATATAGAGAGAGATTGCAAGTTCTGAATATGTTTGTTTCTTATTCTTCCTCCAGAATTCGCCTTTAGGAGGACATGCCCGACCTAACCCCCGCCTCGCCCCGCCCCGCGCCGCCCCGCGCGTTGCCGAGGGGCCCCCCCGCCCAGCCCGCCCACGCAGCCCGCCCGCTGTGCCTCGAGATTGCCGGAGAGGGGCCCCACGAACTCGGAAGTGCAAGCAGCTACCGGGAGGTCTTCGTCGGAAGAACTGAAGAATCGGCGGCGGACCAACCTCCCTTGGAAGTGCAAGCAGCTACTGTTGACCCCACAGGGGGTCCAGCGAGAAGGGGGCGGTGCAATGGATTTGGTGCAATGGAACTGTGGGGCTGCAACAGAATCGACGGTGGACCAACCTCCCTTTAGCAAACCTCCCCTTAGTGAGCACGGCCCAGGACCGAAACCGACGGACCTGGACCCGCAAAAATGACGGCCGCGACGCCCTCTCGCGAACCGACAACGGCCAATTCCTCAGTCGACGTGTCAGGGTAGGAGGTCTGTCCACCTCCGAAAGAAGACTAAGCCCAATAGGGGGGCTGTTGCGCCAAATTGGACCTCGGATGAAGCGGGATCAAGCCAGATTTAGCAGGATTCATCGAAAAAAAGCGGGATTCAGCCGGATCAAGCTGGATTGAGCGGGATTAAGCCAGACTTCGGACCAAGGAAAAATCAGAATTTGACCTCCCAGGAGTTGCATCCGAATGCAGGGTAGGATACTGACTGCGGACCCGCCCCCTTCGGAAGCTGGGCGAAAGCTGGCAAATCCGCGGCTACTCTAAAACGGCATTCCCGGAAAATAGAAACCGATTCCCGGAACAAAACTCGACGCACCGAATGCAAAAACGGGCTGCTTCCCGGAAGAACAAAAAAAAAATCCCGGATCTAAGGTTTAGCAGCCACGGGTCTGCCAGCCTTCGCCTGGCCTCTAACTAATGGCGTCCGCCAGCTCCCTTGTTTGAAAGCGCGCCCGCCCGCTCTGATGTCCCGTCCGCCTGTCCCGCCCGACCTGTCCGTGGAAGGTACGCCCGTCCGTCTGGGCCCGCTGGACTCCAGGTGGCATGCACGGGAACCTCAGGACGAGCAAAGGGCGAGCCCCTGCCCACAAGCCGTCCCGACCTCTCCGACCGGCCGCCCGCATGCCCACGGGCTCCCACTCATCAACTTCTCGGCCCCCTGGTCTCTCTGGAGCGTGCATCTGGGACCTCATCGCGGAGGAGGAGAAGACGTGGAGGAAGAGAAGGAGGAAGAGCACTCGAGGAGGAGGTGGAGGAGTAGACCTCATCGCCGATATGTCCCCACTCCTTGCACACCACCAGCAGAGGCAAAAAGCGGACAACCTTCCAGACCTCGACGGCTTCGGCGCTCGCCCGGGTCTGGAAGGCCACCCGTCTCCAAGCGGTAGTGTTAGGTCGGGCATGTCCTCCCACAGGCAGATTTTGGATGAAAAATCGTCCCCTGACTATGTCCTGACTATTTCTGACTATTCCTCCTGTAGAGGGACATGCCCGACTGAAACTTAAGGACCACATCCCAGAAAGAACCTCGAGCACCCAGGAAAGCATCGAAGCAGTGTCGAACGAGTACCGCCTTCCCGGGCACGACGCTTGAAAACCCTCCAGCCTTGGGCACTCTCTTGGTGCTCGAGACGAGTCTTGGCGAGCACGGCGACAGCAGGCTGGAACATCACGAGCCTGGAAGGCCACCCGTTTCCAGGCGGCAGCGGACGACGAGGCCCCGAGCAGGGCGAACAGATGCAAACGGCGGCTCCAGCTCGGCCCCCCGACCCCTCCCCGGGGGCCCACGCGCACCAGCCCTCCCCCCCGGGCTGCGTCCGGCCGTGTGTGACGAGGCACCCCCCCCTCCCCCCCCCCCCCCCCGAAGGCCAGCTGTGGAGGCTTGGAGGTGGGCACCAACACCAAAACGGGGGGGATGCGCCCACGAGGGGAGGATGATCCTATATAGACGTCGGTGTTGGTGGCAATCGGTCGGCCACCTAAGAAGCCCGGATATGACCCCCATCACCGAGATCGGGATCCTCCTCCCGCGGTGGCGGCACACCGCCGATCTTGGTGTTGGTGTCAACAGCTAGGCCTCCGACAACTGCCTTTGCCTCAGCTCGAGAAACAGAAAGCGAGAGCACAGGCCAGCATCAGGGGGACGTAAGACCTGGGTACAGGGGACTCGGAAATCCCCGACGAGGTCGGCAAAAAAAGGACGAGGCCGAGCCTGCTTTTTGACGAGGCCTCCCGCTGCAGACATCCCACGAACCTCCTACTCGTCAAAATCCGAGTCGCGGTCGTCAAAAAACGATGGCGAACCCGAGTCCTGGCAAACCCGGGTCTTACGCTCCCCCGAAGAGAGCGAGAGCACAGGCCAGCAGCGGGGCTGCGACCGCACCACGTTCCTGCCAGACACGCCCAGCGATCCGACAGCGCGGCTCGCTCGCGCGCAGAGGCGCCGGGGAGCCGAGGGCGGATCGGACCGGCAGGGCCGAGCACGCACTGGCCGGCGAAGAACCGGCCTGCGGCGTGAGATACTCGTTCTGGGGGCCTTCCTGGAGCCACTCGCTCCACTCGTGAGTGCGTCGATGCTGCGGCGAACGTCCGCGCCGAAATTGAGTCGAACTCGACTCGAACTCACGTCGACCCAGAGCCGAGGCAGAGCCGAACTACGTATATTCGAACTAGGGGTCCAGCACGTCCGCTTGGTGGGCCCATGGGAGATCCCCCAAATGGGCACCTAGCGTCGAACTGGCGACATCGGGCAGCGACTCGGACTCAAAAATCCAGCGTTCTGACTTGTCCGATTGGTGGGACCCAGGGACCTCTCGACCACTTCTACCCAGGGACCTCCCGACCGGGTCGTTCTTCCAAGGCCCGGAGGCCTGAACAGACTGACCACCAGATGCCAAAAAGACAGCGCCAGATGTCTTGGGGCCAGGGCCTCCTCGAGGCCGAGTAAGTTGATGTCCGAGGATCGTGCCGCATCGCCAATGCATCGGCGACATCGGAGATGCATCGGCGCCATCGGCGTGGAGAACTCTGGCCACACATCGAGCCGCATCCTCGATGCGGAGCGATCCTTCGACACCATCTACTCGGACCCCAGACAGGAGGAGGGCCGAACTGAGATGAGGGGGAACATTGGGATCGGCTCAGAGGGGGTGGGACACACCGAGCTGAAATCGGCAACCATCCCGGAGCGGGCACGAAATGACAGCCCGGTCCGCGGAGGCATCGCCGCGACGTGAACAGGAGCAGAGAACCTCCCAGGCAGCGATTCTGGTGAACGTTTCTCTTATTCGGCATTTCGACATTGCACGGAAGGCACCGGACCTCTGCTTAGGGCGACTGTTTGCAACAGTGCCTCCTGTGGGAGAGACTCCATCTGCTCCAAACAGGCGACAAAAACAGCCACGATCTACTCCACGGTGGGGGGGAGGGGGGTGCGAGGGCCCGCGACGATCGGCAAAACAATGAATCAGAAAACGATCACCTGTCTGGCCAGTGTTTGACCACTGCCAGGTCCATGGCTCAAGACAGCCTCTGCCAACAGGCTTCCACGGAGCACCCACACGGCGCACGACTGTGAAGGGCACGCTCTGGGGCCGCTCCGGGCCTGTTCCAGGGTCGTCTTCAGCTCCTCGAGGCGGGCGAACGGCGATCGCGAAGCCTGGCAGACAGGGGGGCGCAATCTGCACACCTGACCTGGCGAGGCCCGTTCTAGACCGAGTGCACCGTCCTGGCCAGGCCAGGAAGGTGCATACAGCCATGCAGGGCCCTTGACTGGCCTGGCCAGACTCAGGTCGGGCACGTCCCTCTCTACAGGGGGAAGATACCAAACTAGTTAAAAAATAGTCCCGGGACGATGTTTCGAGCATGTGTTGAGTAGTTATCATTTTTCTTCCCAAAATCCGCGTGTAGGGGGACATGCCCGCCCTAAGGCCAGTCCCAGCGCGAGGCGACCGCTGGCGCCATCCGGGGCGGAGAGACATGTTCCAAACAGGCCGGAGAGGGCGAAAGCGAGCGAGAGGGACGGCGGAGAGAGAAAACAAGCCGCGCTAACGGCGGCAAGGCCGAGGACTGCGGCAGCTCAGGTCGCTGCTGGTCACTTCTCCTCCGGGTCCTTGTCCTTAGCTCAAGGGGCCCAGGGACACACACACACACACACAGAGAGTGAGAGGGGAAAAAAAACAGGATTCCCCGTATTTTCCCATATGTTCTGGGTGTGTGTCTTCCCCCCCATTTCCCACAGTTCCCAATATCTTCCTGGGAATCGACGGTCCCTTGTGTCTGTGTGTGTTTTTTCCCATCCTGATCAGCTCCCTTCCCCCACCCGCCGCGAGGCCGGCCGACCCGCCCGGCCCGCAGCCCACCTGGCCAGCTCGGGCTCGGGGGGCCGGCGGAGGGGCCAAACGGGCCAATGCGCTGTGTCAGCCGTCAGTGGCTCGCCTCGTCATCGTCAACGTCCTCCTCCTCCTCTTCTCCCGCCTCCTCCTCCAGCGCCTTCACCCAGCTCCCGCATGTCGGCACCATTTTAGTCATATATGTGTGTACACATACAGCCATACATACATATATACAAACATCTATATATAAATATATAAATATACACATTATAGATAAGTGTGTACATATATATATATATATCACTACGTATATGTATATTCCACGTATATCACTGCATATATGTATACATAAATACCTGCACGTATGCATATATATATATATATATATATATCACTACGCACATGTATATGTCATTACGTATATGTATATATCACTCGCGGGTCACGACGTATACGTATATATTACTCGCGTGTCACGACGCCACGCATGTCACGCGAATTCGAGTGGACAGCCCAGACGGAGACGGGCCCCTGGACCCACCCAGGCCCCCTCGCGTCACAGAGCACGGCGTGGGGGTGCTGCGCCATCCCCGGCCTCCGCGGGGGCCCCCCCGAGGGCCTCGGGACCCTCAAAAAAACGACCCGGGATGAGAGGCGGGTCCCGGGGAAGGGGTCTAGACCTCCTCCGCCTCCGCCTCCTCCGCCTCCTCCTCCTCCTCCTCCTCCCTCCTCCTCCTCCTCCGCCTCCTCCTCCTCCTCCCTCCTCCTCCTCCTCCCTCCCTCCCTCCCTCCCTCCCTCCCTCCTCCCTCCCCCCTCCCCTTCCTCCTCCTCCTCCGCCTCCTCCGCCTCCTCCTCCTCCGCCTCCTCCGCCTGCGCCTCCTCCTCCTCCGCCTCCTCCGCCTCCTCATCATCCTCCTCCTCCTCCTCCTCCGCCTCCTCCTCCTCCTCCTCTGGGGGTCGACGCTGTGAAAAAATCACGACGTCGGGGGTCTGGGCAGGGCTTTCGCCGGGGCGCAGCGGCCCACCCCGGATCCTGCACGGGGGGCCCCTGGGCGAGGCCCCCGGCCGGCAACGGCGGCGCGCCTCGCGGCCCGTGCCCTCGGGACCCTTGTCGGGGGATGCCCAGGACGACGCGTGCTGCTCGCCAGCGCGCGCTTGCCCGCCGATGTGCCCCCCCCCGCTGCGACGCAGGCGGCAGCAGAGACTGCGCGGCGTCAGTGGAGCTGAGCGGGGTCAGCAGGCGCTGGCCCACCTCAGAGGAAGAGCGCGAGGGAAGGAGCGGCTCGGGGGGGAGGGGGAACATCGACCTGGAGTCGGCGACACATCGCTGACAAAGCGGCGACGGGTCCCCGACAGCGAAAAACCGAAAGTTCCTGGGCGGGCCGGGCCATCTGGCACCCATCGGCGACGATTGGGCGATTGGAGGTCGACGCATCTCCCCCTGGGTATACGTCCTGGTTGTATTGCCCCTTGAATTTCGGATCATAACTAGGCTTTCCGGCGGCCGTTCTGGCCGCCGACTTTTCATCCCGAAACGATCCTGACGATCCTGGGGCCCCCAACCTTCCTCCAACAAGTAAACATGGTAAAAGAAACGGCCGTTTCCATTCTACGAGCCGCCAGATGTCTGGGTTTCGTCAAAACCCCATAAACCAGGACAGTGCTGACCAGGACTTCTTGGAAGCCCCACCGGAAAGCACGAAACAAATATCATGATTCGACACACGGACGCAGCTTCCTTGAGCGCGCGCCGTTGCCCTGTTTCACCAGAAAGCCCCCGCTTTACGAGGCCCTGACTCCCCCCTGACGCGCCGCGGCGCGGATGGCACCGGTGCTCTTCGAGCTGCCGCTCCCCCCGGCCCCCCCTGGGGGTGTGGACCAGCGCAGAACAGCTCGAGGCCGTGAGCCTGCAGACAAGGAGGGAGGGGAGAGGGAAGGGGGTGGAGCATCGGCACCACCCCACTGGCCATCGCTCGGACGTCCATCTCCTGTGTTTTTTTCGGTTTCGTGCGTGGCTTTTTTCGCGAAATGAGCAAGGATGCTCCTCGATGGTCCTCGCCGAAGGAAACATGCACACGTCCGAGCGATGCCGAGCCCATAGCCACAAGAGGACGGAAACGTGGAGAGACCAGCGGCGGCGCGGCGGCAGCGCGGCGGCGCGAGCACGCGTGGGGCCCCGAAGGGGGGCCTTCCGTGGGTTCCGTTCCTGTTCGGGTCGCGTGGGCCACCGCCCTAAGAGGGCGCCCGATCGCCCCCCCCCCCCAGGGGTGCCCCATGTGTCAGACGAGGGAGGGAGGATGTGAGGTACTGAAGTCTGCTGCAGGCTCCGCAAAGTAAAAGGGCATGGGGGGTGGGGAAGCTCACGCGTCAGTTGGAAGGGGGCCAGTTGAAGGTGGAGTGGCAGCTTGAAGTGGCGTGCGGTGGCAAGACCATTCCGCGGGGCCTTGTTGGGCGCCGCTAGCTGCGAAGGGGAGGCCCAAGGGTCTCGCTCTCCCTCTGCTCATAGGACAGGCCGACTGCGGGATCCTCCGCCTGCACGCAGTGGAAAGGTTCCCAGCAAGTTGGTCTCTGGGCCGCCGTGGGGGGTTCCACCGAACGTAAAGGGTGTGTGTGTGTGTTGTGTGTGTTGTGTGTTGTGTGTGTTGTGTGTTGTGTGTTGTGTGTTGTGTGTTGTGTGTTGTGTGTGTTGTGTGTGTGGTGTGTGTGGTGTGTGTGTGGTGTGGGTGGTGCGTGTGTGTTGTGTGTGTTGTGTGTGTTGGTGTGTGTTGGTGTGTGTGGTGTGTGTGTGTGCGTGTGTGTGTGTGCGTGTGTGTGCGTGTGTGTGTGTGCGTGTGTGTGTGCGTGTGTGTGTGCGTGTGTGTGTCTGTGTGCGTGTGTGTGTGTGTGTGTGTGTGCGTGTGTGTGTGTGCGTGCGTGTGTGCATGTGTGCGTGCGTGCGTGTGTGTGCGCGCGC